CCCCAACCCTAACAAAATAATATATTGCCCCCCCCTAGCAAAAGTCATAGTTACGCCTCTGCTCCTAGAATGAATTGATTAAATCAAAGCTTTTTAGCCTTACAATCAAAACAGAAGATGGGCGCTAAGCGCCCTAAAAGCCTAGTATAGTATCTCATAAAAAGTGCAACGTTCAAGCAGATTCCATAATTATCGTGAAAATGAAATTCGAGGTACACGGCCCGCAACAGAAGTTGTTAAACATGTTAATTATCAAACCCCAAGATATCCGTGAAACTTGAAAGAAGAGAAAAAAATATGATATAATGCTTTTATTTTTGACAAAACCTAAAAAGTAAAATTCCAGTTTTATAGTGTTTCAAGAGTTTTAGGATCCAAATCCATCGGTGGACGGTGAGTTTTCGTTTGATTCTGAATCAAACATGCAAATAGGATTGAGGGACCAATAGGATTGTTAATTGGATTGCAGGGACCAATAGGAAAGCTTGCGGTATCTCCGGTAAAAGAATAACATTTCTCCTTATTGCTCAGGGTAGCCACATTGGTGTTTTCTTACCATTTTGTGTTTTTTAGTCCTGTTGGGTGAGTTTTTTTTTTACCAAGGTTTTTTAGACCTAAGGATTTTTAGGTGTTTTTCTTCTTATCTTTATTTTTTATCAGAAAAAAAATTTATGAATCTGCACATGAATATCTCAGAATAATCCTGTGTATAAACTCCAGATGTATAAAGTAATATAAGTTTTTTCGGAGTTTTTTTTATATCAAGTTGGTATTCTTTTATTCAAGGGTTGGCAACCCATCTTGCCCTGGCAACTCTTTTTCTGGTGTGGTGTCTCTGACTCATAGTCACGTGCGGTGTCAGTGACCGTCGCTGATTGAAACGGATTGGGTATATAGATAGCTCACATTACAAAATTTGAATTTATAATCACATTACATACATTGCACTTTGCACTGTAGGGGCGGATCCAGCTTTTTAAAAAGAGGGGGTCAAAGTCTGAATAATATTTGGTATTGGAAGTGAGCGAGGGGGGTGGGATGTGGGGGGGCCCCCCCAAATTTTTTTTATAAGTAATTCGCTATCACGTGAAATAAAATTCAGTGCTCATATGATAAAACTGAAACCTATAGCTGACGTTTTAGTGTTAATTATTTTAATTATTATCCATATTTACATTTGGAAACAAATTATAAATATAAATACGATTTATGTTGAATAATTTTAGTTTCTTTTTTAGTTCCTTTGGATGTTTGATAATATACTCCGAGTTTGAGGGTAATTTCATAGAATACGATATTTTTGGACCCCGCTCACCCTCCCCCAGCTCCTTTCAAGTTTGTTCATGGATCTCGATCTTATGTATCGTATGGATATTGGTCATACTCGAGTGGTTGCAGCCGCTTGTACCAAATTGATATGAGGNCATGCCCCCCCCCCTTACATCAAATGTGCCATCTCCACCATCCCCTTTAGAATGTTAACATTTTTTAATAGCTGTACTATAAGTGTATTTACCGTTTTTGCAATCACCATATCATAAAACCCCTTATAATTGTAATGTTGTATTTTAGTTTTGTTTATGATTATTGTTGCAAATATTATGTCATAAAAGACCTTCATCAATGAATGAACAATTTATATATCTTTACTTTACTGCAGATTTATATTTTGTAATTGCTTCTTTGATCAAGATAAAATTAAGACTTGAATTAAAAAAAATGTCAAAAATAAGAAGAGTTTAGTACCACTTGGTTTTAATGTAAGAAAACAAAACAATATTTCTACTAAAATTATTCAATATACTATTTTCAGATATATTTGAGAAGGTTACTTAGGTGTGAAGATAACTAAATTATTCTCAATTTTAGAAAGGTAAATAACATAGGATAAAAAACGAATTTTTTTCCCCTTTAAAATTCGATTTTTTTTTCAAATTCCACAGGCAACGATTAGGCGCTTTAGCTAGTCTTCTATTTAAAAAATCTTTTCGCTCAAATATATATAGATATGTTAGCTATAGCTCGACCAAAATGGCTGATTTTTTTAGGGAACCCTTAAGTACCCGAGGGTTTGTTACATGGGCTAAAAAAATAGATTTTGTTTTAAAAAATTAAATTTTTTTAAAATTAGATTTTTCAATGCAGTGCTTAGGATCCGGATTCATTGGATCCGCAAGATTTTGGCTTCCTGGATCCGGATCTGGATATGCAAAAATATGTGGATCCACAGATTCAGATCCAAGGGGTTAAATATCAACCAAAAACTGCAAAAAAAACTTTTTTACTCCTTAAACCCAAATCTGAACTTTTGAAAAAAAAGATTATAAAGATTTCCTCATTTCTGAATGGTTCATCAAGTTTTAGGATAAAAATAAGCGAAAAAATAAAACAAATTTGAAAATTATTTAGTAAAGAAATGACCTGGATCCGGTTTTGGATCTGAATCCATTTATTTCCAGTGTGGATCCAGGATCTGGATTTAAATCCAGATCCGCATCAAAATTAAATGGATCCTAAGCACTGTTTAAGAGCAGGCCCGTAACCAGGGGGGGGGTGAAAGGGTTCAAGTGCACCCCTTTTTCCATGAAATTTTTTGACTTTTTAAAATTAGTAATTTAAAGAATTTTTTGGTAATTTGCATAGGGTAGAATACAGGGCGGTAAATTGTCCTGAGTGTGTAAAAAAATCTAAACAGCCCATAACTTTTTTATAACTAAAGCTATGACTAAAGCTACAGATCTAAAAACTATATTTTTGAAAAGCCCTTGAAAAATGGACGTAGGAACATGTGTTACACTTTGATATTTGTTTAAAATGAAAAAAAATATTTTTTACATTTTTATGCCCTTTTTTTGGACATTTTTTTCAACCTTCCCTAGCACCCAAACTAAAAAAGTTATCGATCTAATTTTTTTATAAAGGAGCTGGCCTTGAAAAATTGGGCTATGAACATGCATTTCAACCCTATACCTATTCTTTAAGGCTTTTTTCTAAGGGGGGGGGACGCACCCCCCCTCAATACATAGATTCAGACCCCCCAGCCTAGTAGGGAGCTGGGACAATAATAATGAAAATAGAAATAGCAATCAATCTACAAATTAAAAAAATGAGAATCAGGGACAAATGCTGATTTTAACAATTTACCGAAATTTGTACAAACAAAATGTAACAAATGTAACCCTTAAAACCTTAAATACACTTGTTAAAAAGGTTAGTCTTTATAGCGTACATTGACAATGTAATAAAGAAAACCATATACCACCGTAAAAACAAACCAAGCATTGCTTTTTAAAAAACCAAAAAAAAAAATTTTCCTGCAGCGCGCTTCTTTGCACCCCCCCCCCCTTGAAAAATCCTGGTTACGGGCCTGTTTAATAGATCCCACGAGCAACACCCGGTACTTTAGCTAGTATTCTATATAATAAGGTCTTCGCTCATATATATATATTTGTATGTTAGCTATAGATAGTCAAACAGTTCGACTAAAATGGCTGAATTTTTTTGAGGGAACCTTTCAGTACCCTGGGGGTAACATAGGCTTTAAAAAATTAGATTTTTTTTATTTTCAAAAATCAAATTTTTTTTTCTTCAGAATTTGAATTTTTTTTTCAAGTGTTTTTAAAATTCCATGGACAATGCCGGGCACTTCAGATATTTCAGTGCTTTCAAATATAAAATGTAAAGTAACTGAAAACTAGCCATAAAATTTTCGGATCCCTATTTTTTGCAACCTTTGATATTTCAAACTTTTACTATTTGATCCATCAATATTTAAAGTTTGTAATATCAACAATACCAACCTATAAATAATGTGTTGTTAACCATAAAAATTAAGCTTACTCCGCTGTAATATTATATATTCAATTCATAGTAATAATCATTGGTAATCGTACCTACTTATAAGATTGAAATAAAATATTTCTGGTATGTTCATCTATGGATTAGAGGAGAACTCGTGGGAAGCCTATTAACACTTGCCAACCTTCTAAATTGAGAACTTTAGTTGCCCGGGGACCGTTGCTTGGGAAATAAATATCCATCCTTTCTCCAGGAANACACGTGAACAGTTCATTTAAAACATAAAATTTAACATTTAAAGTAGTAAAATTTCAATATTTATCATAAAAGCAGTAGTTTATAACAGATCCTTTTCTATTTAGGATAACGCAGATATCACCATGAGCTCCATCCTGGAGTTAGCTGATCTTAAAAATTCAATTGCAGAATTGAAGGAATCTGATCTATTTGCCTCAGCTAAAGTAAAGGTGGACAGATCTTGCAAAGATCTCCTTGACAGTCTACCAAAAATCTACACTAAATCAGAAGAAAGGGCCAAGGCAAGGATTTATATTTTTGAAAAAACTCTTTTCTCCATTTTTTCTTTTAATTCATGATTGTTGTTTGTGTGCCGAGGGAGGGGATGCAGAACCGACATGATCCCCGAAAGTTGACCTCCGAATTCTCTAAGCCCCGCGAAATTGTCTCCAAGAAACATAAAATATCGCTGAACCCTGCATTTCTATCTCCAAGGCTTGCATTGTGAAATATATAAGTACATTTTTGTCTTTAAAGTGTCGTTAAAGCCAATGTGTCATGTTGAGATTTTACGAGAGAAAAAAGTTTAAATTTTATACTAGGGATCATTAAATGTGAAGCTTGAAAACGATTTTGCATAACTCGGAGGTTTTTCTGCAAATAATCTTTGATGGGCGGATTATTGGTAACTAATAATTTGGTAACTAACATTTTGGTAACTAACAATTTGGTAACTAATAATTTGAAAACTAACAATTTGGTAACTTGACATTTAAACTACATGCTTATGAGGAAACTTAAATTAGCGCATTAACTGCATCCAGGTACTCCTCTACAGTTGATTCATCCCATGATTGTGAAAAATTAGTTTCAATTATACAAATTGTTAGTTAACAAATTGTCAAATTACCAAATTGTCAAGTTACCAAATTGTAAGGTTACCAAATTGTCAGATTACCAAATTGTCAGGTTACCAAATTGTCAAGTTACCAAATTGTCAAGTTACCAAATTGTCAATTTACCAAATTGTCAGGTTACCAAATTGTCAAGTTACCAAATTGTGGTTACCAAATTGTGGTTACCAAATTGTGGTTACCAAATTGTTAGGTTACCAAATTGTTAGTTACCAAAATATTAGTTACCAAATTATTAGTAACCAATTATCCGCCCATCGGATTTGAAGTAATATTATGGTGATCATGTGCATTAACACTCCCTGGTGCGTATACAGTGTTGAGAAGTAATTAAAACTAATTAGAATTAAATTGACTTAGAACTTGTAAAATAATACCCCTGTGCCCAGGTTTATGATACAACTGTGCAGCTGATGATAACGGTAGCCTCCTACAGAGCTGTCGAGGGACCAACAATTCTCTACTACCAAGGAAAAGCATTTTCGGGTGGCTTTCCCGAAACACCTGTCGAGAAGAAGCAACGTTCCTTCCCAAGAATTGAAAGCATATTTTCAAGGTTGGAAAGGAATGCAGCTAGATTGAGGTTTGCAAGGGAAAGTCATTCAACACCATGCTGGAACTGTCAAGCTAACCCGTGTCTTCATGGTAAACCTGTTCCTGACCCCATCAGAGTAGGGTTAAGGGTCATGCCTGAACATGATCGGTGCTTTTCATTTAAGCGTGGTAACACCAGGTCAGGTCAATCTGGAATTATGAAGTCTGAGGACTATGCAGAGTTTGGAACATCAGGAGGAAACCTTGGTCCCTGCAGTCAGAGGGAGATGTTATGCTACAGCTGTGAGTAATTGTTGCTCTGAGGGAAATCAGCAACTTATTCTGGAGATTTATTAATTTTAAATCTTTCTCTGATGTAATCAATTATAATTCTCATTGGTTTTATTGTTTTGAATATTCTAAACAGTATGTCACCATAAGTAATCATTCATTTTGTTAAACTTGAATTACAATTTTAACTCGATTATTTTAATGCACATACAAAAATATTTTTTTTTAATCTCACGTAAAATATGTGTCCAGCTTTTTTTGGAGCAGTTTTCTCTAATGCTTGATTTACCGATTTCTCCATTATTATTTTAGAATGCTTCATTATTGCAATTAACAATTTTTCTGTTGTGTTAGCAATAAGCACTTTTTTTTGAAAATTATCAATCTAAAATATGGTAGAAATTACATTTTTTATATACAATTAACCATTTATCTGCTATGTCGGCAATTTGCATTTTTCTTAATTGCAAATTAACAATTTTCCTAGTATGTAAGCATTTATTTTCTAGCTTTATTGCAATTAACAATTTTGTTGTTTTGTTGGCAATAAACATTTATTCTGTATATAGAATTAAGAATATTTCTGGAACTGCTGTAGTGTTATTGAAAATCTCTACTTGATAAAATAAAAAAACTACGAGAAAAAAGAAAAGTAATATCTATGATAGGAAAGTAAAACCAATGATATAAAGTGATTTTAACAATAACTAAGAGGCTTAATAATGTCGTCAAGTTGCGACCGGGGTTCTTAAAAATGCATTGTTTTGTAATTTGAGGATATCATTTCCTAAACTTAGACATTTTTAGATTGAAATGATAAAAATACTGAAAACAATATTTTTGTCTGGTCTGTAATATTTTTACGGATCCACCAAACAGTCAAGATTGATAAAAGTATGATAATGGTCGACCAAGTAATTAAGTTACTTCGATATGATTTTATAAGATAAAAATTATTTCTCCATAATGTTAATTTCAAAACCGCTGTTAACACAACATGCTAATGTAAGAAAAAATAAATTCAAAGTAAGAAAGAACTAAGGGTTGGTATGTAGCAAAATATTAATTTTGATTGCAAACGCAGCAAAGGAACTGAGTTCTAGCCACAAACTCAAATTTTCTACTCCGTATATCGTTGTAACATAATGTTGTAGATCTATGATATTTCACACTATACATTTTGTCAGATCAAATACTCTTAAGTTAAAAAAAAGAGTAAGGTTACAAATATATATAAAATAAGAGTGGCATCCCAGATTCACAACGGTACCTTTTAAACATTTATTAATATAAGAATGAGGAAGATATTGTCGTTTTCTAGATCCTTCAAGTGTTAAATTTTGACCACTTTCGCACATTGTCTCTGCAGTGCAGTCTGCAAACATAGATACATAACTAGCGTCTACAATGATCATTGCTAAAGACAATTAAATTTAGATTTTTCATATTTAATTCTGTGTCCTTCATTGCTGTACAGTCTGTAAAGTTTACAATATAGTGAGACCTATACAACCGAAGAATAAAAAGACTACTTCTAAGAAGCTACTTGTAAAATTATTTGTTTTACAGCAACATCAAATACATTTATGAATGCCTAATGTCGTCTTGTAATTCCACAGGGATAGCAACATCAAATACATTTATGAATGCCTAATGTCGTCTTGTAATTCCACAGGGTTAGCAACATATCAAATACATTTATGAATGCCTAATGTCGTCTTGTAATCCTGCAGGGTTAGCAGCATCAAATACATTTATGAATGCCTAATGTCGTCTTGTATTTCCACAGGGTTAGCTACATCAAATACATTTATGAATGCCTAAATGTCATCTTGCAATTTCACAGGGTTATTGATATTGCTTCTGATATAAAATATCAAATTTTTTTGTGAATTCTTATTATGGAGAATCAAGTAGCTTAAACATGAACTTGACAAACAATGGCATATGCTTGACAATCTTGACATTTTTTTATTGAAAACATGATCAATATAATGTTATTAATATAAAACAGAGTTTTGTATTTAGAGATTTAGCGTGCAAAGGATGAAAGGGGTCAAATATCCAAAGAGTTTGGAGATATCAAATTTCAGTTTGAAGATATGAAAAATCAACTGATAGGTTCTAAGGCTGGGATCTCTAAGCTTGGGGAAGATCTGTAAAAGGTTGAAGATCTTGTAATGAAAAAAAAACATGGAAGTGGCTGGTATTAATGCCAACAGTAGGAAGCTGGTTGATTTAGTCCAATATGCCACTAATCCATGCAAAAACTGCAGCAAGGGGCCAACATTCTTCCTGGATGGACAAATTGTTCGTAATACATACACCAGGGACTGGAACCAAGATCAAAGAACTGAAGAATATTGAATACAAGGATTATTATGGTGTACAAGTAAAAGTGCTTTCTGGCCTAATACTGGAGAAAAGGGTGATGGATATCCCACAAGAGTCATTTGGAAACATGGTGGATGTCAATATTGCAATGATTTTTAAATCTGGATTTGTTTACAATTAACTGTAAACAGCTAAAGCTAGATATATGATGCTAACCTTCAACTTAGTCGGCAATGCTGTTAATAATACACCAAGAGATCATTGGCCACAAAACCTTGATATTTTTATTGTAATATTTTACTTTTTTTGTACACTGTACAGTACAGTAAAGATTTCCCCAGGGATTGGCGGATTTTTGGTAATGACAATTGGGTAATGACAATTTGGCAATGACAATTTGGTAATGACATTTTGGTAAGTTTTTAAAAGGGATAATTTGGTAATGACAATTTGGTAACGTCATAAAAGTGACAATCTGGTAATGACAATTTGATATTGACAATTTGGTAACGACATAAAAGTGACATTTTGGTATTGACAATTTGGTAAGGTGAAAATTTTTATAAAAGAGTATATTATTAATAAATGAATAATTACATTATTTTGGGTTAGGTTAGGTAAAGACTATTTCTGGGCCGAGAGTTGCAGCTATGGATGGGCTAGGGGGCCGCGCGCTGCAGCCTCTATGTTGAATGTTGATTTTAGCAGATTATTTTAAGCTTCTTATTTTTAGCAATTCTCTATAAATTTTGTTACTGCCTAATAATTTTGTAGATGGATCTTATATGTACCACATTGATACTATTGGTCATGTGGCCGCAGCGCTCGGCCCCCTAGCCTGTCATAGCCGCAGCGCTCGGCCCAGAAAGTGTCTTAATCTAACCCAACCCTGAAAAATACAAAATAAATATTTTTTTGGTTAAAATAGTTGAAATTTAGGCCATGTACAAATTGATAGGAAGGGGGGGGGGGNAGGGGGGGGGGGTACATACAGAGTGTATAGGACGCACCCAATCATAGTTTAAATGAGCCAAAAAATAGTTCAAATGAGCAAAGAAAAGCTTTCAAATGAGCCAAAAAAAAGTTTAAATGATCGCTATATACAAATAGTTGCTCATTTGAACTATCTTTTTGATATATCTAAAATATTTTTTTTGCTCATTTGAACTACTTTATTGCTTATTTGAACTTTTTTGCTCAATTGAACTTTTTTTTTGATCATTTGAACTACTTTTCGCTCATTTGGTTCACTTGAATTATTTATTTTGCGATCATTTGAACTATTTTTTCTTATTTGAAAGAGCTATGTTTTACAGGTTAAAATTTTAACTGAATTGTTTTGCTCATTTGAACTATTTTTTTGGTCATTGAATTATCTTTATGTCCATATGATGAAATAATTTTTGATCATCTAAACTATTTTGTCAAGATTGTTTGACATCTAATTTCATATATAATTATTTTTAAACTGCATATTTGATAGTTTAAGTGAGTATAATACGTGATTGTTTAAACTACAGGAAATGACGCCATTATCAGTAGTATAAGAATGAACAATAGTTCAAACGATCAGTAGTTCAAATTATCAATAGTTCAAACGATCAGTAGTTCAAACTATCAGTAGTTCAATTGATCAATAGTTCAAACGACTGTAGTTAACAAAAGCATTCCATACACAGCATCTATAAATGGGGGGAGTGGGGAGTGAGATTTCTTTACTTAAAAAATTGTATTTTTTTAGAGTTTAAAAGTTTGATGCAAACCTAAAATACGTATATTTTCGTAAATTTCATACTAAGAAAATTTTCAAAGTTTTTAGGTTTTTATTTTACGTATTTTTACGTATTTTTTAGGTTTTTTCTTTACTTAAAAAATTGTATTTTTTTAGAGTTTGAAAGTTTGATGCAAACCTAATAATACGTATGTTTTCGTAAATTTCATACCTAGAAATATTTCAAAGATTTTAGGTTTTTATTTTACAGGGTTTTTCTTTACTTAAAAATTGTATTCTTTTAGAGTTTAGAAGTTTGATATAATTGATGCAAACCTAAAAATACGTATGTTTTCGTAAATTTCATACCAAGAAATGTTTCAAAGTTTTTATGTTTTTATTTTACGTATTTTTAGGTATTTTTTAGGTTTTTTCTTTACTTAAAAAATTGTACTTTTTAAAAGTTTGATGAAAACCTAAAAATACGTATATTTTCGTAAATTTCATACCAAGTATTTTTTCCAAGTTTTTAGGTTTTTACTATACGTATTTTTACGTATTTTTCTTTACTTATTTTTTTTAGAGTTATAAAGTTTGAGGCAAACTTAAAAATACGTTTATTTTCGTAAATTTCATACCAAGTAATTTTTCTAAGTGTCAGTATATTCACGAAACCACAACTGTACAAAAATGCATTTTTAAGTTAGAATTTGAAAATATTTTGTACTCTTTTTAAGAGAATTGTTCTGTAAGAAATTTAATGCAAACATTTTGGAAAATGCAATGTTTCAAAATTGCTATCATTTTTGAGTAAATTGATGTTTTCATTAGAATCAATGTCAGTAAATTCTCGAATTTTTGATAAATAGAAGTTTTACTTTAACAATTTTGTAACAGGTATAATGGTAGTTTGACACACATTGATACGTTATTGTTGAAAATACAGACAATATGTATATTTGAATGTTGATTTAGATGGATGCATAGATGAAGGAATGTTGATGGTGTGAATTTCTGTGGACAGAATATTGGATTGAAAATAATTAATATCAATGAATATGGATTTAAGAAATTTGTGGAATTAGTTGTATAGAAATGAAGGAGGGGTTGTTAAAATTAATTCGAAATATAAGGAAGACGATTTTTCCGAGTCAAATGCCGTAGACCGAAAACACCCGAGATGATGACAACTCAGTCTCAGGGAGCAATCCTGGCTCCTTCATAGTGATGATGCAGATACCTATAGCTACCAACAGACGATGCTTACATCCAGCTCAACATTGTTCCAAGAGTTCCAAAATTATCAGGCGTACATTGAGATGCATTCCCTCATATTCGAAACTGACAAAACCGCGATCTCTCACCCTGTTCCAAGGGTTCTACTTCTCCTCTACAAGAGGATACTCACCCTGTTCCAAGGGTTCTATCGATGTATTCTTTATTAAGGGTTTCACTGTAGAATATTTGGTTTTTTTTCTGATTTCTTTATTAGAATATTTTTGACTTTTTAAAGGTCAACAGGGGTGTATTCATGTGTTCCGGGGGGCAGGCGCGCAACTATAGGGGGGGGCATGCCCCTCCCTTAAAAAATCTTGCCCCCTCTGTAGGGGGGGGCAAGAAGTGACGAAGTCCACCCTGTTTTGCAATTTAGCGATTCATGAATCCTGAACCTGAGCAAATTTAAGAGCTCTTATCGTAAAATAAAAAAAAAAGATAATTGAACGATAGTTTATTGAGCTTATAGTTCAATCGATATAACATTTAATACATCATATACACACACACAGACCCCCTTCGTCTCCGAGCCTAACTACTGCCGTAGAACAGGTTTACAAGGTTCCAAGGTGCCTTAATCTTTGTTTTTTCATTATACACCCGGATAATGTTGTAAAGTCGTCTTCGAATTTAATTTCTAAATTCCGCGGTAAATGCGCAAAAATCCGAAATTCTCCAAAATCCAAATTCAAAAAAAAACGAAAACCGCGAAACTGGAATAGAACTGCGTTTAGAATTTAGTTTCGAATTACTGATACTAAGTTCATAGTAAAGTTATAACCGTATATTGTACGTTAACATTTAAGACGCCTGCCTAAAGTGCGTATATAAACTTTTATCATTCAATCAAGTTGTAACCGATTGATCTTTTTCATACCAAGAAAATGGAAGATAAAACTGCTGAGTATGGTTTAATGTTAAAGATGTTCCCGACAAGCATATCTCCGAGTAGAAAATGTCATGAAATATTTTGGTTAATCAAACTCCTTGACGTCACAATGTCCATGAAGTTTTTCTGTCCCCATTTTCCGTCTTCACGAGATATTAAGGTATGAATTCATCCTAAATGCTGGGTCTGTCCTAGAGAACCATTTTACGACCCCCCCCCATATCAGTTTTGTACTTATTAAGTATTATTTTAGAGTTAGGTTAGGTTAAGACACTTTCTGGGCCGAGCGCTGCGGCTAGGACAGGCTAGGGGGCCGAGCGCTATGCCAACATGGTCAATTATATCCATTTATTTATTATTATTTAGGGTTAGGTTAGGTTAAGACACTTTCTGGGCCGAGCGCTGCGGCTAGGACAGGCTA